CCCCTTTCCGGGCTCGCTCGCACGCAGCAAGTCCTGTGAGTTCCTGTATCCATCCGAGGCCCAGATGATATGATGCGGATACAAACTAGGCTCGTTACGTAACCTTCGCTTCCTGTTGTGACATGGACCATTATGGAATAGCAACAGGGGCTGCTTTTAGTATCCGGTTGTGAATTGGCCCATCACACGTTTGATTGTGTCTTGATCATTCAGAGAATGGATCATGATATTTCTTGTTCGGGCTTAACTGCTTGTTTAAGAGCAGTGACAACGACAAGGTTGGCATTCCGGCATGCAATCAAGCATCTTTCAACCATGTTGTTGTATAAAACGGTGTCTGACCCGGGTAACTGGCCCTTGAACCATAGGTTTGTGACCTCGTCCCTTGTAGGTAGGTAAGCAACGCAGCAAGCCGCGTATATCTTATGGAAGTCGCCCACCGGAGGGTCGATAACAATAGTAGGCTGGCTGAGGGCATCCTTGGCGACCAGCGCCGCAACACCTCCGGCCACGGTGTCAACACAGTCGATGCCCGCATCCGCAATGGCAGCCGACGCTACAGTGATGCAGCCGCTCAACACATTCATTATATCCCATACGTCGTCTCGGTGGTTCTCGGGCGCATTACGGTCCTGATCACCCTCTATGACGGTGACTATCACATCAACACCACTCTTGGGCCAACGGTCGGCGATAATGGCACCGCGCAATGCCGTCTCCAAGTGTACGCCGAGGTCGCGTTCGCTCGAGTCTCGTAGGTAGCCACGCCTTTGCTTCGTGGCGAACGGCGCATATTTGACGTGGGTTGTGAGGATTATATGAGGAGAGAAAGGTGCGGATCGTGGGAGAGCTCTTGGGCCGTGGACGGTGCAGGTTAATTTGAGGCTCGTATTACTCGGACCGGTACCATCTGGATTCACGAGCTCTAGGTAGGCCGATCCAGAAGCTGATGGGGTCACGCCTGTTTTTAAGACTGTGCGAGGAATCAGCAATTTCCCGGGATTCAAATCAATGCAGTTGCAGCTTTCCACCTACAGATTTTGCGACTGACATTATCAGGCCTCTCAGTTCGTTGTATGTCTCTAGGTGGTGGAGCGTCAAAGACTGGTGGCAGTGTAGTGCCTACCGGGCCGTTTATTCTCCTCCGATCGGCCATGGTAGGAAGCACGTTGACGCCGCGATTCTTTAGTAAGCAGGGAATCCCCAATGGTTCAAATATGCGCGTGAATAAAGCTTAAGATGATAGGTAGGTAACTCGAAAACAGCAGATGTTGATGTCAAAGGACGAGAGTTCAAGTGTAGCTGCACCTACCTTATCGATTACCCCACCATGCTTCATTCCGAGAAGCTAAAACCCAAGCTCCACTATAAACCAGCCTTCTTCTCCATATAAAAATATACGCGCAGAGAAATTTCGTAACTTTGTTCCTCCACGCTTCCTTCTCATTATTTCAGATCTGCCATCCAACACCATTAAGAGCCAGCCACCCGGCCATTTGCACGCACGAATGCCCGGTGAAATGAAGCGGCTCTTGTTGTTGTTGGAGGTACGAAATGATAACAACCATAACTGCTGGGATGAATGAAGCCTTCTCTCGGACGCGCCTCAGGGTTCTGACTACCTGAAAAAAAGGTAGTAAGTAAGGTAAGCCCAAATACCTTCCTTTTATCCTCCAGCCACCCTTTACACCATATCCTTCCAGCTGCACTCGCTATTGATGAAATTATAACCACTGGTCTCGCGAACACCTGAGCGTCAGAACCAAACATGCACTACCATCTGAAGCACCATTTTGCCTCGTATCTTCTTGAGAAGCCTTCTTCAGACAACATGACTGACGAGACATGACAGATGTAGCAATGCAACACGATTGACTTGATCGAATACTTCGCTCCTGGAGATTACAACACGAGGTCAGTTCCCCCTTCAGTTTACTATGATGCTTTCCTTTTTTCACATGATGAGACTTCAACATTCAGTTCTGCTTCTGAATCTAATGAAGATACCCATATACCAAAATATATCTCTGATTCCACACCATCCGTCAAAACTACATATCTCCAAACTTTTGGTTTTGAATTGGTTTACTGACCATTTCCAAGATTTCATCTTTAGCTTCTTCAACCGATATCCCCCTTCTTTACAACCTCCAATACGTATCGAACACACAGCAAGTCGTAAGTTGCCTTCGCTTCACTCTCTACATCTACACGAAGTTGGTTCTCTTTATGATGAAAACTGTTTATCCATTCAACTATCTCACTATGGGTCGAGCCACCCTCCCGCACCGGAGCTAGTCCTTCGGGATTAGTGATGATAGGTTGTGGAGTTGTATCTGGCAGCTTCGGCCTCGTGTCGGAGTCTGCTGGGAGCGTCATGTTGGCTTCCGTTGTTCCCCGTCCCTACGTGCCGTCTTGGGATGTAGGGATGGGGGGCCGACACATGTGAATGAGTAAAACGGTTCGCTGAATATTGAATATTTGATATCATTTCAAGTCGAGATAATATTCATGTTTCTGGGCTAACATGTCCCAGCAGATCCATTACCGCGTCGCCATGTTGAATATTGTAAGTGTAAAAATAAGCGGATATGATGAGCTCGAGGCCGTAGTTATCGTAGAACCGTTTTTCAATTCGGGTATAATGTCTATCAAGCAAGTTTAAATATATACATGACATCTCCTGCGTCTATGATCTTCTATGCATAACACCGGCACCAGCCTGGTGGTTGGGATATACCAATGTATCAGCAACTACTACGTTCTCTCTTCTGCCAGCAACAAACACGACAACCTCGGCAATGTCGTCGGGCGTTAAAGGGTCAACACCGCTATATATCCTATTAGTAACGTCGACTTGTGAATCTCGACGACACAGATAGATACTCACGCGTAGACAGCATCGGCCTTGGCCTTGTCACCGTAAAACCTGACAACGGAAAATTCCTATGCCAGCAATGTCAATATCCCACCAGGTTTATATATCCCAGCCGTTGGAAGAAAGGGAACATACCGTCTCAACCTGACCGGGATCAATCTCCAAAATCCTCACGCGCGAAGCGACAAGCTCCTTGCGCAGGGCGTCGGTAAAGCTGCGAACAGCGGCCTTGGTAGCACAGTAAATGCTCCCGCCGGCATAGGGTTCGCGGCCGGCGATGCTGCCGATGTTGATGACGTCGCCGGAACCACCGTTCGGCCGTCGGAGGAAGATGGGCAGGATGGCCTGCGTCATGTTGATGAGACCGGTCACGTTGGTCGCGAACATGACGTTCATGTCCTCCTCGGCGATCTCGGGCGCTTTGGCCATGCCTTTGACGAGGCCGCTTTTTCGTTGTTAGTTTGGGGTATTTCATTTTTTCCCCTCCTCGCCAGGGCTAAAACAGATGGACACGACGGAGGATAACATCATAGATATTGTATATTATCCGCAAAAGAAAAAGAAATAATGAGAAAATAAGAACTCACGCATTATTAACCAAAACATCAATCTCCCTAAACTCCTCGGGCAGATTCTGCACGAAACTCCTCACCTCCTCGGGCCTACTAACATCGAGCTGAACGGGCAGAACCCTGACGTTCTTCTCCTTGCCTACCTCGGCTTCGATATCGGCAGCGATTTCTTTCAATGTATCGATTCGTCGAGCGGTGAGGACTAGTCTCAGACCGGATGCCGCCGTTCGTGCGAATTCAAAGGCCGTGCTTCGGCCTATCCCCGACGACGCCCCTGTTATCACGATGGTTTTGCCCGAGAGGCGCTTGGACATTGATGAGGTGGACATTTTGCGGGATGATGATGATTTAGGGAAGGATAAGTGGGGGGAGGGGGAGCGGCGGGTTAGCTGAGAGAGGCTGTTATGTGTATGTGTATGTGTATATGGGGCGGTCCGGAAGGCTCTTGTTGACAATGTTGGTTGGAGAGTGCGTAGGATATGCTGGGCCGAAGCTGCAGGTATTGTGCGATGGAGATGGAGGGGCATGTAGAAAGATGAAAGAGAAAGATAGATATGTGGGATGTTAGGTTAGGTTAGGTGAGGAAGGATGAGTGGAGGATGTACGGTCGGCTGGTCGGATCTTGTCGGCCGTTTCAAGTCTACTGTAATTGCGATGTTGGCCCCCCCTTTTTTTCTGATCGGACCGGCCAAGTAAGGTAAGTCTTAAAGATTTACGCGGGATGGGTGACTATGGGATGAGATAATACACCAATCCGTAAAGGTTGTTAGATGGTATCTACAGGAATAGTAACGAGACGACAATTAGACTGAGGTTAGGTTAGACAAGATAGAGGCACAAGTGTAAATAAATAAACAAATACAAAAGAGCTCAATTGCGTCCCGGTAATAGGTAAGCGCTCCAAAAGATCGTGGATTCGATAAAGCACCGTAAAGTAGGTGATTCGATATCGGAGTGTAGTCTAGGTAGGTGACAAGGTCGGTTCGATGTCGCCATCGTGCCTAACCTAGCATGGTCTCCGGTTTTTTTTTTTTTTTTTTTTTTTTTGCGTGCTTCTTTCCTCAACCCCGCCATTTTCTCCAATTCCTAGACTACCCCGCCAACTTTGCAACAATACGTGAACACCGGATTTGCAAAGACGACGAAAGGAGAGATAGGACAGAACTTGGGGATCTGCAGTATATAATAGATAGGACAAATTCTAAAGAATAACTTGGTATATCTACGAGTAACACAGATACTTGACGTATTACAAATATGCCTGTAACTATTGCAGGTAAAAGACAATAGACCCAAACCTCGACAGCACATACAACACACGTACAACAAAGGAGATCAAGGTAGCGGCAGCCAAGGTACATATGTCGTTTGAATCTATCTTAAAAAGAAGGATCCCAATTACATACATGCCAGTCTCTGTTGTTATTGCCTGCGTTGGACTTCTCAATTGTTGCGGAAGTATAACCTAGGTCAAACGTCAAAAAGGCATACTAAGCGTGTATTCTTGTTGTCGTATTATATACTCGTATTACTTGCATAGTTACCAATCATCTCTCATAGTGTAGTGGTTTAGCACGTAGGATTTTGATTCATACCAAACTTCCTGAGTCCCCGGTTCGATCCCGGGTGAGAGATCATACAACATTCTCTTTTTGCTATTTTCTTTTGTTAATCTAACCCAGCCACGAGTAGTTCTAGAGATGATATACATTACAGTAAAGACATCATCAAATGTAAAACAGAAGCTACCAGAGCCCCAGGTAAATACAGCATGCGGTAGTCTTTTTTAAAAAATAATTTATAGGTTTGTTTACAGCGCAAGAGTAAAAAGTCAGGTTTAGTATAAATGTTTATGTGTTCTCATTGTATTACACAATACATTATAGCTGTTTTAAGCTATGTAGATAATATCTACTGTTACTCTCTGATCCTGTCTTCCATATAGCCCAAATTATTTACATCCGCCCATGACTAAAAATAGCCCGACTTCTATTACAGTTATGTGTAAGCTTCTCTCGTCTTGTTTATCCTGATCTGATGCGGTACGACATATGTTAACTCCCTGTTCTATCTGTCAGGCGCTGTATAAAATTGCCGATCATGAAGATGCGCTCCTTTTCACAACCTACTGTGATTCGAACCCCAATCGCCATCACATCGGCTAGTGATGAGCATGTACCTATGCATAGGTCGACCGCCCCGTGATACTTCCTCAATGTTGCCTAAAGTTATATTGCCCTAGGCTGTTAAGTTTCCCCCGGCTCTCTTGACCCTCGTGTCCCGAAACGGGGGTTCGTTCAGGAAGTGCCTCCATCCAGTCCTGGGCAAGGGATCTTCCATCATTCGTGTGAATCTCGCATATACTCAAACGTGGCATATCCGTATATGCTTTCCTCGCGTCGTCTTACTAAAGCACGGCCCTCTCTGCGTCTCGACCAAGGTTGTTTTCTAGACATCACCACTATGATCTTGTAGTTTCTCTCCAGCACCGAACCAACTCTTAATGACTTCAAGCGAAATGTCATATTCGAAAGCAACAGTGACCTTGGGGCCTAGGGGTAGAGGCTTGTCCCACGCATGTTTCTCGCCCTCCACGATGCGGACGCTAACCTGCTTACCCCTATTTTCGAGTCGCTCGGCGAATAGCTTGCCCTCGGCAAGTAGCATATCGTATTCACAGAGACATAGATGTATCGGCGGTAATCGATCCAACAATTCGTCCGGCATGAGTCCTGGTGACAGCCGTATATCGTTTCGTTGACGACGGGGGAGGGGTGGGTGGAGGTAGGAAGCATCGATCAAGTCTGTCAAGCCGCTAGGTAGTGTCAAGTCGGGTCGCTTGCATGCGGCTCGCTTCTGTGGTCGGTCCAACGTCCAGTCTAGCAGGGGATAGTAAAGGACAATCCCGGCGATCTTGGGCGGTGGTGATGGGAGTTTGTAGTTCCATCTTGAAGGGTCTTGTAAGACGATCCAACTACTCATAGTCAAAGTGGCGCCAGCAGAGAAACCCGAAAGCAAAATGCGGTCGGGATCGAAGTTGTATCGGTTCGCGAGTTGGCTGATCTGGATAATGGCGTCCACGCAGTCTTCTACCGGCGTCGGGAAGGGATAACCTGGAGCAAGACGGTAGTTGATCGAGAAGACGACGGCGCCCAAGCCCGTGACGAGCGACTCGGCCCACCGTGCATCGTCAGTTCCCCGGCCTAGGATGAACCCGCCGCCGTGGAAATTAACTACGGCCGGTCGTTTCTCTTGGTCCAATAGCTTCGGCGTAGTCGGCGGGACCCATACGTTGGCACTGATCGCCTCCTTGTCTTTCCACTCACTCAATGTGGAATCAAGCCATATTGTCTCCGTCGGTCGTAGCGCGTGTTGGCCGGTGCGGTTTCCGAGTTTGAACCCGATATTAGCCCCTAACCGGAGGGCGAAGGCGTGGGCGGACAGAAGCCAACGGGGACTCTTGTCGGCGGGGTTCACGTAGTCTTCCTCGACTGGAGGTGGCCCGATGGAATGGATGGAGGCGACTTCGGCGGCTTCCACTTCAGCAGTGCTCTTCCTCGATTCACTATCCCTCATCTTATCCACAAAGCTTTCCTAGTGTTCTGATGGAGGTTGTGAAGACATGTGCTTGCTTGTCGATTAGATGTAGAGTAGGTAGTACTGCGCTCGATTTCGCTGGCTAAGGATAACGGACGATGGATAAAGTTTGTAACGTATGTTTGGTTACAGCCGATACCTCGTAACTTACGTGTACAGGTACAACAGGGGAGGTCAGAACTATTTCATGATATGTTTCTACAACTTACTACACGTGCTGTATCCAGTAGAGGTGGAATGGAGGGATGACGTCGTGACTCGTATTATATCCTTGCAGGTGGTACCCTGTATGTTTGTAGCTGAAAACAAGGGTCGCTTGCCCCTGGCGCCTGGACAAAAATGGTGGCTAGGGTACGGCATTGAAACAAAGCTATCCCGTGGACGTGTACTCGTATACTTGGGCACGTAACTTGGAATTGGGTAAATGTCCGTTTTAGATGCTAGAATATGAGATGCTTCATTTTAGTCCCTGACTTTACCTGATCTTCTTTCCAGTCACCCTACCTGAACTTTAATGTTTAGTAGTTGACTGCAGCGCTTGAATTATCTCCATAATATGACCTGCTAGGGGCATCACCTGCAGCGCGGGGTCTTACCTATCATCGGTACCGGTAGCCACCTAGTACAGGCACAAAAGCGAGTGCAGGTGCAAAACCTTGGTCATGCTGCACAAACGTTGCGTCTAGAACCCAACAGCCAAGCATAGCCCTCCTGATTCAGGGTCCCCAAGGAGACTCTGTATCTTGACACATGTAACCTACTCGTGGAGATTATAAGGGGTGTGGGTGGCTTACCCTATCCTTGTGCGGCTTGGGCGTGGCTGGTATTTCGCCGGATGTCTTGCTTCTATGAGCTACTGTTGCATTCCGTACATGGCAATCTCTGCTGGTAAGCCTGCGTTTAAATCATTCATTTGTCTAATTGTCATAATCACATAGGGATGTTAAGCAATGCAAAGTTCAAGGCTGGAAGTCTGTGCCCTTCGATAATTATACTCGAATTTACCCCTACATACCAGCCCACTCAAGGCAAAAGGCCCTCACAGGCGGTGCCACTGGCCCACCACGCACCTTGGGCTTCTCGTCTTCATCACCTTGGCTAACGGAGTCACCGGCGGCTACGGCACCACCAAACAGATATCCCTTCTTGACAGACGTGGCTAGCCTTCCGCCTCCAACCAGGTCCATCATCGTGATCTCCTCCTCCCAGCCAAAATGGACAGCTGCAAAATGACTATGGAAGCGTAAGGGGTCGCCCGGATACACGTTATAGTCGCAGCCGAAACGAAGTCCAGGCATCATGTAATATCCTTTATCATGGAGGTGTGCGAATAATGGATAGGAAACGGGCACATCTACGTTAGCTGTTTGTTCCTTCTCCGATGAGGAAGGTATGAGGAAACTGCTAGTGGTAGGCGTAAGAACGTAGCCCTCGACTTCTTGAGGTGGGTTGATGACTTGTTTCCGGCATGTAGACGTAGAGTCGAAGAGGCTGATATCCTCGCTCTTTTCGGTATTTTCACCAGAGGATTTTACATCCTCTGATCCCTTGTTCTTCTTCTTCGACTTCCCTTCGTTCACTTTGGGTTTATTGCGCATGCTGCTCTCCATGGCAGCCATCTGCATCACCTTACCCTGGTTCTTGAGCGACTGTATGTAAGCTTTGCGCGAGGACTCGTCAAAAGCCGCCAGTCTAGTTGGGTGGAACGTCCCGTCATCGGCAACGTAGGCCACCCCTTTGTCGACAAGAACTTGTGCCTCCTCAGGCATAAGCTCCAAAGGAAGTCCCATGAACACATTCTGTTGCGGGTTCTGGGGAATGGTCCCCACAAAGACGGAGCAAATATTATAGTTTCTGCGAAGGTACATCACATCCTCAATATCGAAGACAAGATATCTTCCGCCAACCTTGGCAATCCTTAGCAACGGAGCATCACCGGTCACGCTGGACGCCATTGTCACGTCACAAAAGACAGTGGTGCTATCTGGAAAATGAGTCAGCACATGTTTGCACGCAAGATGCAGAAAGCGAATCTGAGACAGAGTAATCATAAACCAGATAATGATGGTATCAACATGAAATGTTTTTCAGTGGATTGACAGATATGGATTTAGGTGTAATCATTTTAGGGGAACGAGCAAATGAAATGTTTTCTTTTGAACTTACCTCTTTGTTGTTGTGGTTTGGAACTGGTAAGAATGAGATTGGGATAAAATTTGGAGAAAATGTTTTTAGAGGTTGGAGTGTGGGGATGACCCAATCTTTTTCGGTGCGAGAAAAGTACCGAAGTATGCAATAGGCCCCCCTTTATGCATTAAACCCATACAGACAAGTAATGTACTGAGATGAATGATGAGGCTCGTCCATCACATTCTCAAAACTCCATACTAGGCTTTGCAAAGTCCTTTGCTTCGGTCGCATTCTCCTCCGTGTCCGCAGGAGGAAGATAATATGGTTTGATTATCAGGCCCTTGGATCGGCTAAGGCTAAAGGACTGGTCGTCTAAAGCCGAATGAGACCCGCCGCCTCCTTTCTCATGGAAAACCGGTAGGCTGTGGACTTTGACGAGGCCTTGCACTTGCTCGTCTCCCTTTCCTTCGCCTTTTGACGACGACGGCGGCGGTTTGTGGATCGCCATAGCCTGTAGGGGTATGAACTCGAGCACGCCGTCACACAGCAATTCCATCCATCGTGTGAGGCCGGTTGTCCTGGGATAAAGCGAGAGCGGCAACGTGATGATGGCAGTCAAGATTTTAGAATACTGCCGAAGCAAAGCCCGCAAGCCGTGCAAGAACTGTATAACTTCTTGGGGGTGGGAAGCTTGACTAGAGTAGCCGGTAGGGGACAATAAATTTGGGATTACCACGCGGTGAACCCATCCGGGAGGCGAGTTGGCTAGCTTGAGTGACAAGTCTCGAATGAACTGTTTAAAAGGGGGTTTGGATTGTGGCCCAGTCATGGATGGGTGAAAACCAATCTGGCCCTTGACGTCTCCCGGGGATAACTTCTTGGTGAGGTCAAACGAATGGCAGAATGGG